AGATGGGGTTTCACCATGTTGACCAGGATGGTCTCGATCTCTTGACCTTGTGATCCACCCGCCTCGGCCTCCCAAAGTGCTGGGATTACAGGCTTGAGCCACCGCGCCCGGCCTTTGAGATAAAGTTTTGCTCTTTTTGCCCAGGCTGGAGTGCAATGGCACAATCTCGGCTTACCACAACCTTCACCTCCCAGGTTCAATCGACTCTTCTGCCTCAGCCTCCCAAGTAGCTGGGATTACAGGCATGTGCCACCATACCCAGCTAAATTTTGTATTTTTAGTAGAGATGGGGTTTCAGCATGTTGGCCAAGCTGGTCTTGAACTCCTGACCTCGGGTGAGCCACTTGCCTCAGCCTCCCGAAAAGTGCTGGGATTCCAGGCATGAGCCACCACGCCTGGCCTACAGGTGGCATTTTAAGCCTCCAGAGGTAAGCCCCCAGTGGAGCCTATAGATACTCTTTACATGCCTGGTGGGGCCTATGCCTCCCATCACCAGCTGCAATGGAATGTACTCCTGCCCTTCTGTATGCCTATCCACCACCTCCACCTGAGTTCTATCCAGGACCTCCCATCAGGGATAAGGCCATGAGATAGGTGCAACCCCATGGCACTGCCCTATCCTGGGGCCCTGGAACCTCCTGTCAGAAGCCCCACAATTCCCTCCACTCCTGCAACCAAAGCCAAGCAGCAGTTGCCAGAGCCTACTACACCCTGGGCAACTCACACAACATCTACATGTGCGTGTATCAGCCTCCACCACCTCCATACTACCCTCTCCCTGGTCTTAGAAGATAGAAGCACTCAGTGTATCCCAAAAAATTAAAAATTAAAAAATTTAAAAGAAGACTCAAAGTTGGGCATGGTGGCTCACACCTGTAATCCCAGCACTTTGGGAGACCAAGGCAGGCAGATCACAAGGTCAGGAGTTCGAGACCAGCCTGACCAACATGGTGAAACCCCATCTCTACTAAAAATACAAAAATTAGCCAGGTGTGGTGGCACATGCCTGTAATCCCAGCTACTCAGGAGGCTGAGGAAGGAGAATCACTTGAACCCAGGAGGTGAGGGCTACAGTGAGCAGAGATCATGCCAGCCTGGTGACAGAGCGAGACTACATTTCAAATAAATAAATAAAATAAAAGGAGACCCAGTAGACCCCTCACACTTCCCTGCCTCCTACCACTCATCACTCTTTAATCCTCTCCTTGGGGCTGAGTCTGGGTTGTGGGAGATGGGAGGGCCTTGTTCTTCTCCAGGTCTTATTATCAACAGTTACCAGGAATAGTGTTGAAGGAAGAGCGGAGGCCCCTTGACTCTGGAGCAGTGTCTCACAACTTTCCAAGCTCCAGAGCCCACAGGCGCTATTCAGCCATGCTTCCCTCTCACCATCTCTGGGGCTCTTCCTCAGGAACACAAGGTGTGCCCTTTGTTCCTGTTTTGCTCTAGTAACCTCTCCCCACAGAGGGATTCTCTGGTTAACCTTCTCTACCATAGTCCAGCTCCCTCATTTTGGTAGCCACTTTACACTCAACCTCATAAGCTCCATCACATCAGCCAAGCATCATCCCTGAGGGTGCCCTGCCTGGAACTACTTACGTTCCTTCCACTTTGGCAACTGCCTAGCTGTGGAAGGCCACTGTCTTTTCAGACTGTCAGCCCACATTCTATTCAGCCAGGCTCCAGCCACAGTCATACTCAAATTCCCTTCCCTATCCTCTTTTTTATTTTTAAGAGACAGCGTCTTGCTGTGTCACCAGGCTGGAGTGCAGTGGTGCAGTTATAGCTCAATGTAGCCTGAACCTCCTGGGCTCAAGCAATCCTCCCATCTCAGCCTCCCAAGCAGCACACACCACCATGCCTGGCTAGTTTTCTTTTCATTTTTTATAGAGATGGAGTCTTGTTATATTGCCCAGGTTGGTCTCAAACTCCCTCTCCGATCCTTGATCATTCTGTTGCCACCTCTGTGTGACATCTGGAGCTTTAACGTGAGCTTCCATGGGTGTAATCAGAGGCAAGGCCATGGTGACAGGGGAAGAAGTCCCTCTGCTTCTCTACTGGTATTTCCAGAATTGGTTTCCCTTTGCCTCCTGTCATCTCTCTTTCCTCTAGAAGAGGCATCTCAGACTGGAATTCAAGAATTCAGGTCCATCCATCATGCCATCTGAGGACTGCTGGGTGGTCTGGGAACAAGGGCTCCTGCCTGAATCCTGGGACCAAGCCTAGCCCTGCATGCTAATGGTGACCTGCTGCTAGCCCCCTCAGCCTGGCCTTTTCCCTTTAAGCTTTATGCCTGGTTGGTTATAAGTTCCCCAGGATATATCTGAATTTGCTCTTATGTGCTCTTGGACTGGCTGTGAAATACAGAGATGGTTTAAAGATAATTCCCTATTTATTTGACAAAAAAAATTCAGTTATACATTAATATGAAACTCTGCACACCTTGATTTGGTGAAAATGTGACATAGTAAAAGTGAAGTAACTGAGAAAGAAAGAATAAAGAATATACAAATTATTCTGCTTGTAATGTCAAATGTTTATATGTTCTTTATAAAATACAACTCATCTGGGCACAGTGGGTCACAACTGTATTGCCAGCACTTTGGGAAGCCGAGGTGGGTGGATAGCTTCAGGTCAGGAGTTCAAGACCAGTCTGGCAGCAGGACAAAACCCCATCTCTACTAAAAATACAAAAATTAGCCAGGCGTGGTGGTGCACACTTGTAATCCCAGCTACTTGGGAGGCTAAGGCAGGAGAATTGCTTGACCCCAGGAGGCAGAGGTTGCAGTGAGCCAAGATCATACCACTGCATTCCAACCTGGGCAAAAAAGTGAGACTCCATGCCCCCCCCAAAAAAAAAAATTAAAATTACATGAAAATAAAAAACTTGCCGGGCGCGGTGGCTCACGCCTGTAATCCCAGCACTTTGGGAGGCCGAGGCGGGTGGATCACGAGGTCAAGAGATCGAGACCATCCTGGTCAACATGGTGAAACCCCGTCTCTACTAAAACTACAAAAAAATTAGCTGGGCATGGTGGCATGTGCCTGTAATCCCAGCTACTCAGGAGGCTGAGGCAGGAGAATTGCCTGAACCCAGGAGGCGGAGTTTGCGGTGAGCCGAGATCGCGCCATTGCACTCCAGCCTGGGTAACATGAGTGAAACTCCATCTCAAAAAAAAAAAAAAAGAAAGAAAATAAAAAACTCATCCATTGACTTGTTCTGTAAAGGCTATTAAATTCCCATATTACTCAGTCTCTTCATTGTTTGACACTTCCCTCTTTCTCCAGAGTCCTAGAGGGGTAGTTGCTTATTCTCCCATAGGTTCTGCATCCTCTGAAAAGAAGGGGTGTGTGCTATTTATTGTGTACTGTTTATTGCCTCTTCAAAATGTTTTTGTTTTTGTTTTTGTTTTTGTTTTGAGACAGAGTCTCATTCTGTTGCCCAGGCTAGACTGCAGTGGTACGATCTTGGCTCACTGCAGCTTGCGTCTCCTGGGTTCAAGCAATTCTCCTGCCTCAGCTGCCCAAGTAGCTGGGATTACAGGTGTGTACCACCATACCTGGCTAATTTTTGTCTTTTTAGTAGAGGCAGCGTTTCACCAGGTTGACTAGCTGGTCTCGAACTCCTGACATCAAGTGATCCACCCACCTCAGCCTTCCAAAGTGCTGGGATTACAGGTGTGAGCCACCTGCGCTTGGCCCCTCTTCCAAATCATCCCCTGCTCTTATAAAAACAAAATATATTCTCCCTATTTTTTTTGAGGATCCAATTCAGCTCTTCTTCCCTTTCTAATGACCATTTACTAACCTCCTACTTATTCCATCTCATTCACAAGACTGACATATGGCTCACAGTCTTCCCTATCTATCCCAATTACTGCCATTATCCTTGTTGACTTCAATATACATATGAATAATCCAACCAAAATTCCTTTTCTTTCCAGTTTCTAGACCTTTTTAGCTTGTGGAACCTTCTGTTCCCACTCCCATTATCCTGCTCTGGACCTTGTTATGGGGTTCCTCCATATCCAACTTAGGTTCCATGATCCATCATTCTATAATCCTTTGGCCATACCCTAAGCTCCTTTGCCCATTTTAATGTTTAGTTTTTATAAAAATATTTCTTAATTATTTATTTTTATAATTTATTCATGTGTAGTAGATATATTCAAGGACAAAAGTCTTGAATTTGTCTGTGACTTTTAGCAGAATATTAAACCCATTTACAACTGTATAAGCCAAAATGCACCTCTTGCACCTCTTTCCTTCTCAATCTCTCTCTTTCTTCTTCCTCCCTCCCCCAATCTCTCTGTCTGCCTCTCTCTTTTCCTTTCACATTCTGCCAGTAAAACCCAAACCTGAATGAATTCAGCTGTGTGCTTTCTCTTTACCTGCACTCAAAGTCACTGGAAAAAAACCATACAAGAAAGTTTATCTTTAACTTATATTACAAATTTAACATTACTAATTAATGCTTACCAACCCCAAATAAGCATGACAGTAATTCTGCTTTGTTTTTTAAAATCGAATTCTCTTTCCCATTATCCATAAAGACTATTTCAAATTTTCTCAAATCTTTGAATTCCCTATACTTCCCTTGACTCTCATTAGATGATTTTATCTCCTTTCACTAAAATATCAGGTGCTTCCAATGTTAGATTTATAAATCTATATGCATCAGTACACATTCTCTGTTAACTCCTGCCCCTCCTCCTTTTAGGGGTAATGCCTACATCTATGCTCTCAACTCCATCCCCCTCTGCTTACCACTTCTGTCTTGATCCTCTCCCTTGGTACCTGATCTTTACCATAAGCATCTTATCTGTGTAAAAAACAAACAAACTTCTTGCCCTGATTTTCCTTACCTTCACAGCCAAATTCCTAAAAATAGCTATTGACACTTGTCTTAATTTCCTCAGTCCACTCCAGTGGTTCTCAGCCAGAGGTAGTATAGGATCTAAGCCTGCAGCTACTGGGGGCCATCTTTGTTGCCCCACGGAAAAAGTCTGCATGAGTTGGAAGCCAGTAGAGGAAAAAGATGAGCCAAGAGAATAGAGAGAAAAGATAGCTCTCATAACATAGTCTGAATACCTGATTCTGGCCTCACTGGCATTTCAGTTACATGAGCCAATATATTTTCTTTTTGCATAAGCTAGTTTGAGTTGTCTTCACACTGTTTATATGCCAGTGCCCAAAACTGTGTCCAAAACTGTAAATGTGATCTTCAAACCTGGTTCTCTTTCAGGATTCCCTTCCTTAGGTCAAGGTATCTGTATTTTTTTGACCTGACCTGAAGTCAAGGTCTCTGTATTTTTTATTCACGATTATATCTTCAACATCTTGTACACTGTCTGTCACACAGTAGTGACTCAATAAATATCAAAGGAAAGAATGACAAATGAAGATTTAATTTAAGCCTACCTTAACCATGGTGGAAACTGGATGCACTCGCCTAAGATTCTTCAAAATGGATCCTACCAGATCCATCACGGACAGTCCAATAGCCCAAGAGGTATATCCCTTCAGCTTGATAATCTCATAGGCACTACAATTGTAGAAAGTAAGAAAATCAAATTCATAATGTCAACCCAGAGAAAACATAATAGTCTTCAAGCATCCATTTTGAAGTAATCTACATGTGATGCAATTATATTAAAATATTCTCAAAGATTTCTTATAGAATTTATAAATAGGCAACAAAACTTACTATACTGGTCTCATAAAACTTCACTATGTATTTTATTTACTTAATTTTTTTACTGATGAATTTTTTTTTGGAGACAGGGGTCCTGCTTCCTTGCCCAGGCTAGAGGGCAGTGGTGTGTGACTATGGCTCACTGCAACCTCCGCCTCCTGGGCTCATGTGATCCTCCCTCCTTAGCTTCCCAAGTAGCTACTTGGGAGTACAGGTGTGAGCCACCATGCATGGCTAATTTTTGTGTTTTGTAGATATGGGGTTTTGCCATGTTGCCCAGGCTGGTCTCAAACTCCTGAGCTCAAGCTATCTGCTTGCCTCGGCTTCCCCAAGTGCTGGTATTACAGGCATGAGGCACCATGCCCAGCCTACTTACTTTAAATAAAAATTAATTCACCCTTCTTTTTATCATAAAGACAGAATACTAGGACATATGTGCCACTCAAGATGAAACTAGTTTTTATTTTTTTATTATTATTTTTGAGACAGAGTTTCACTCTTATTGCCCAAGCTGGAGTACAATAGCACAATCTCAGCTCAATGCAACCTCCATCTCCTGGATTCAAGTGATTCTCCTGCCTTAGCCTCCTGAGTAGCTGGGATTATAGGCATGCGCCACCGCATTTGGCCAATTGTGTAATTTTTTTTTTCTTAGTAGAGATGGGGTTTCTCCATGTTAGTCAGGCTGTTCTTGAACTCCCAACCTCAGGTGACCCACCCGCCTCAGCCTCCCAAAGTAATGGGATTACAGATGTAAGCCACCGCGCCCGGCCTAAGTTTTTAATATTTTTTTTGTATTGTTGCTTAAATATGCAAACATAGAAACTAATCACCTTGAAAGTTACCATATAAATTTCTCTGACCATTTAAAATTGTTACTAATGTGCCAATGTAAATTTATATAGTGTAAGCTGTGTGTATATATTTTTCTAAGAATATGTCACTAAATAATAAATGAATATGGAAAATATTCATGATACATTTTCAATGGAAAATAGCACAAAACTAAACATTATGCACTTTCTTATCTCTGGCTTGTAAAAAGCAAATTTTTATATAAACTTTAGAGCAGCAACAACCCACCAATTTATGAATAGTGATTATTTTTACATGACAGGTTTACAGATGAGCCTTCTTTATGCCTTTTTGAATTTTCTTATTTTCTACAATTAATATTTATTATATATTCACATTGCTACAAATAGTGGTCTCAGGTTTAGATTGACAGTCAAAATCATTGGACCAAGGAGCTTCAATTTAGCACTAAGTTTATTTAAGAAAGGATATAGGACAGAAGCATAGACTGCAGCATATCGTTCATATCAGGAGGTCTTACAACTACCCAGTTTTAAAGGTCCAGGAATGCACATGACACACTTGGTTGCCAGAGATAAGGCTGATACGTATTTATATACAGACCACCTGAGCACAGGGAGGTTGGGCCTGGACTGTTCCTACAGTAGTGTCCTATGATTTGACTATCAGTCCAAAAGCAGGGCCACTATCAGAGGCCATGCAGTACTTTTAATGACAAAAGTACTTTTGAGCCCTCAATTCTATAAGGCCAAGACTCTGAGGGTAAGTAAAAGGAAAGGGAGGGAGGGAGCCTAGCGCCTGACTGACAGCATACTGTCTATGAGTTGAAGTAAAGAAAGCTCTATAGTAGATAACTGGGGACAAATCTCACCAGTTGAATCTGGATGACAGATTTATCCTCTCAGGTATTAACAAAATGAATTGAAAAAGAAAAGAAAGTTGAGAATGGCTAAAAACATAATCCTTTAGTTGTTATCAACCATCCTGATGAAAATAAAACTGCTGCTGTAAAAGAAAGGGTAAAGGGAGCAAACAGAAGAAATAGTTTTAAGGCTGGTACTTTAAGACAAAAACTGATACACATTGTAAACCAAATGCCCTCTTGGGAATGATGTCCTATTAAATCGTGATGTTATTCCCCTGCAACTGGTGGTTAGACACCAGCCAATCAGAGGCTGTTGTGTAAAAAGAGCTGAGTAGTTTTTAAATAAATATTAGCAGGACCCTGAGGACTATTTATAATTATACATCCTCGGCTAAGTTATTAAGAAGCAAATAATTTAATTTTAGATACTGCAGAATTGAGAGGACCAATAGTGATAAGTACTGACCTGAAACACGTTGGAATATTTAGTATTCAAATCACACAGGACTTCAATGGGAAATGTGATCTTAATCCTTGTTCCCGGAAAGCAGGTGTCTCAAATTAAAAAGGAACTGCCCGAGCGCAGTGGCTCACACCTGTAATCCCAACACTTCGGGGGGCCAAGGTGGGCAGATTGCTTTAGCTCAGGAGTTCAAGACCAGCCTGGGCAACATGGTGAAACCCCATTACTATCAAAAATACAAAAAGTAGCCAGGTATGGTGTCATGCATCTGTATTCCCAGCTACTCAGGAGGTTGTGGTGTGAAGATGGCTTGAGCCTGGGAGGCAGAGGTTGCAGAAAGCCAAGATTATGCCACTGCACTCCAGCCTGGGCAACAGAGCCAGACCTTGTCTAAAAAAAAAAAAAAAACTATCATTCCCTGTGGTACAATTATTAGTGACTAGGTAGATAAAATACCAACACTGTGACATCCCTATGGGGATGGATGGGCTGCTCCATAACACTTGGAAACCACTATTGGTTAAAATAGGTTCCCCAGTGGGTAGGGGATATGGATGGGCCTCCAGACCAGTTAGATCCCTGCATTTACTGGAGACTGATCTTCAATGGCCCCTATAGCTGAAAATATATGGGGACAAGGGACATTTTTGTTGAGAAGGATAGGAAAATATACTGTAATATTAACACACATTTTGTTTTCTAGGCATTAACCTCTCATCCAAAGCTATTTGGTGAAACAAAGCGTTTGTAGGTTCCCTTAAGAGAATTTAAGAAAATAAAACATACCAATAATCATTACCAAAGTAAAAGATATTTCGGTAAATTGACCTAAAA